TAACCTCAGAGGGAGGTCCCCAAAACCTTTTACTCCCATACTCTTCAAGATTAAAGCCAGGACCATGTGGCTGATGCTGCCAAACTCCTCTGCCTGCTTGAGATGGAACTTTAACCTCTCCTTGAGTTACATTGGCATGAGTTTTATTTGTTGATGCTTTTCAGAATCAGATAATGCCTTAGGCCTTTTCACAAGTTGTAGGATTAGCTGAAGGGGTTGGTCTCTCCCCTAGGGGCACCACTCCATTTATTCCGTTTTTTCCTGATCTCTTTCAGCATAAACCATGGCTCAAACACTAAATTTCCTGGTGCTCTTTTTCTTTTCAGACCATACCCCCTATCCCCTATGCCCTACCCCTAACCCCTATCCCCAACAGGGTTTGCCTGTGTAGCCCTGGCTGTCCTAGAACTTACTTTGTAGACCAATCTGACCTCTGCTTCCTGTCATGTGCCACCAGCCCCAACTTTCAAACTGTATGTTGTGTATCTTTTTGTCCCATTTGCTCTTTTTCATTATAGATCTGTATAAGAGTGGTCACTAGTAACCATGCAAGAATCAATGTTAGGCAGTCTTGAAACTTCCTCTGCCAAATAAATTAGTCCAAAATTTTTCAATTTAATAAATTTTACCCAGGGATCTTAGCAATTTAAGTAAGGAAAGGGTCTAAGCTTAACTTTATGAAGCTTTATTTTATATCTGCCTCTGTGATAGTTGTGGCTACCTGATGAATCTTGAAGGGATGGGGAGAGAGAGGAGAGCACTATCGTCAGGGTTTGGAGATGAGAGAGATCTACACCTGCTTCTCCACTGTTTGTTGTTTTTGTTTGTTTAATGAGATGAAATTACATCAGTTTGAAAATACCTGAAGCAACCTTAAAATACAAAAGTGTATCAGAGGCTGTCTGAAAAACAGGAGGGGCTCAGCATCACCCACTGTGATCATAGCAAGAACCTAATGCCCAATCCGCTGTGCTTAACTGGCTCATCTGTAGGCTGAGAGAATGACCCAGGACTTTGAAAAAGCAGAAGGGACCTATTTGAATTTGGGTATTTATTATCTGTGCTGCAATAATTCACGAAAAAGTTTGTCAGAACTTTTACATGCTACTAAATAAAGGTTTTATAACTAAATATTTCTTCCAAATTATCCTTCAGTATATATTATTTCAATATGAACTTGTTTTTGTATTTGGTGATAATTTCATACCACAGTTCTAATCTCTATTTAATTCAAAACTGGTCTGGTCTAAACATACAGTTGCACAAGAACACACCGAATTCCACCTTTGGCAATGTGGTTCTCTATTGGTGACATGATTCCTGTGTCAGTCAGCTTTCATCACTTCGACCAAACACTGAGGAAATCTTTGAAGGTTGAGAAAGTTTCTTTAGCTTCAGTTCACAGTTGCCTTGTGCTTGTGGTGACATGGTGCATCTCACAGAAGAGAAAGAGAAAGAATGAGACCGTTCCAATACCTCCTACCCCTCAGTTATGAAACTGCCTCCAACCAGACCCCAGCTCTTTCAGTTGTAGTGTTCCCCTACCACTCAGAGGCTGGCAGTCAATGCTAGCATATAGGTCTCTGAGGGACATTTAAGATCAAAACCCCAACAACCTCATCGCCATCTTTTCCTCTAAAGACTGCTGTGGGATTGAACCCACAGTACTGCTGCAGACATTATTCTTGAACTTAACTAGCAATGTCAGTATGCTTACAATGTTAGTGTTTTTGCATTTTGAGCTTTTTTTATTTTTATACAAGAAAGTTCAAAGACTGCAAGATCAAATTTTGCTTTTGAAAAACGCTACCATAAATAAAGCCTACTTTGTAATCAGAATCCTATTTTTTTTTTTCTGCATAAAACAGCCTAGAACAGTGGTCAATTGGAGATGAATGGATTCCAGGAAGCTTCTAACTTGATGAGATCTATAAGGGCCAGTGCCAGTTTATTTATACTAATTTTCTCTTGCTACTTGTATTCTATTAAGAAACAAAATCCAAACCTTAGAATTTTTAAATGTTATTAAACATGAAAATGGAATTTGTTTTATGCAAAAAAATTGGAACTATGTACATGAAAACTGAACAAGGGGATGGTTTCATGGAAGTTGGATGACGTCACTAGACGTCATTTCTCTTATTTGGGAGGTTGCAAGCTTTTTCCCCAGGATTTAACGATTAAAAACAAAAACAAAAAAACAAAAAACCAGACTTGGCTGGTTGCCTTTTACTTCCCAACAATTTCAGATTCAATTGGGTCTTGTCCCTACATTGTCTGAGAGAGCTGAATTTAACCTTCCCCTTTAGACGCAAACTGTTTTCTTCAGGAAAAGTCACATAGTCTTCAAAAAGGATTAAAGAGCTCAGCCACAGACAGAGCTGGGAGGAAAGCGGGTCCGCGCAGCATGGAACTCAAGACCTCACGCAGCTCCTGGGACTGGAAAAGAAAAGCCAGAGGATCACGATCGACACGAGGGATGGGACCAAAGGTTCCATCCATCCTCCAAGCAGGAGACAAAGGTAACCGAGCGCGTGCGGGAATAGGGAGACGACAGTGGGAGGCCCCTCGGCCCCGGCCGGGTGGCGTGACTCCAACAAGCCTCCCTGGACGAGCAGGGAATGGGTAGGACAACAGGAAGGGCCGGGGCGGGGCGGGCAAGGAGGCTCCGGCGGGAGGGGCGAAGGCTGGGAACGCCCAGGCCACGCCCCTGCGCCAGGCCACGCCCCTGCGACAGGCCACGCCCCTCGGGGCC